CTGCTCAGGCCCCGCTCCCAGGGGCCGGAGAGGGCGAAGCCTCTGCTTGGCTCCGCTCCCTCCAGCTCCATCCTCGATGACCCCCTCGTCCAATGGCGCTTGAGGCGGTGCCGAGCGGAGGAGCCAGCGCTGGACACGCCCTTGGTGGGCAGGGCTGTGCYGGGCCCTGCTGCTTCCCAGGGTGGCCTGCAGGGGGTGCCACATGACCCCCCTGAGGCCCTGCAAGGGACACGGCCCTGGGAGACACGTAACCCCCGTGAAGCCCCCATGCCCAGTCAGCAGCCATTTGTGCAAACCCCTGCACCAGGGCGCATCTTCACCCCAGCCGGGATCCCAGGAACCGTCCTGGCAGGAGCCCCCTCGGTGGGCACATGACTCCAACAAAGCCTTCTGGCCAAAGAGGAGCAGCTCTCTGGACACCCTGCAGGGGGCACTATAGTCACAGTCACCTGACTCCCACCACACCTTGGCAGAGGGCACCACACCTGAAGTCGTGCGATTCCCCTGAGGCCCTGTGGCCAATCTGCAGCAGCCACTGTGCATCCCTGCACAGTGGGATACTTTGGGGCCCTTGTGGGCCTGGGAGAGCTCTTGTGGGTCAGAAAGTTATTTGTGGAGCTGGGGGGCACTTGTGGGCCTCGAGGCACCTTTGTAGGGCTGGAGACACATTTGTAGGGCTGGGGGCGGCAGCTGTGAGTCAGAGAGGCATGTGCAGGGCTGAGGGGGCACTTGTGGGTTGGGGGGGCACTCTGGGTTAGGAAGTCACTTGTGAGGCTGGGGGGATTGGGGGTAACACCTGTGCAAGTGCCACCCCCTGTGATGCCCGGTCCCCTCCAGGCCCTCTGGGAGATTCCTGACTCTGGATGCTGCGATGCCAGCGCCGGGCCATAAGGGGGCGCCCTCGGTATGACATCCCCACCCCCATATTTTCGGGGTCTGCCCCTGTGCCTCCCCAACTCCTCGCCTGACCCCCCCTTTGCTTTCCCCTCCCCCCCAGGACCATCGAGACCCTGCTGGAGCCCCCACCTGGGCGCCCCCAAAACAGGGTGGGGCTAATACAGTAATGACACTCCAAAACTGCACCACTGGACATGTATAGAGAGGTGGGGAGACCCCTAAAATCCCCTCCCTTACCTCTCCTACCTTTGGAGTTGCCCGCGATCCCCTCTCCCCCCGTATGCCAYCAAGTGCATTTGGGGGGTTCTGGGGGCTCACGAGAGGGCATTGGTRTAGKGCTAGGGAGCATCTGTGGGGTGTTTGGTGGGGCTCTGTGTATGGGGTGCGGGGCGCTGAGATTGCAGAAGGGGGTCGGGGTGGGTGATTGGGGGGGCACTGGGGGACTATAGGCGATCCACAAAAGGTTTATGGGGTTTTGTGGATGGGGCATGTGGAAGTCGTTGGAGGCAGTTTGGGGGGGCCCTGGGTCTCTGGGTGGGGTCTGTAATAGTCCGGCCGTCTGTGGGGTGTTCGGTGGGCCTCTGAGGTTGCGGAAAGGTGTTTGGGGAGGCACTGGACATGTATAGGCGATCCGGAAGAGGTCTGTGGGGGTTGGAGGGGAGACACTAGGGCTGTTGGGGGTGTCCGTGGAAGTCTTGGGGGTCCAGGAGTGAGTTTGCCGGGGCTCTGGGAGGGTTTGTAATAGTCCCGGGTCTGTGTGTGTTTTGGGGGCCCCAAGACAAGTTTGCTGTGTCTGGGGACGGGGGAACCTACAGTGGCGCTGGGGGGTTTACTGGGCGTATCGGGGCGGAGAATCCCCCAAACCCGCGGGAGGCGGGGCTCACCTGGCTTCTTCACCTTGACGGCAAATTGGTGCCAGGGGRTTCTGATGTCCCCTTGCACCAGGGGGATCATGTGAGGCCCCAGTGTCCCCCTGATTTCCCAAAACCCCTCGGGCCCTGCGGCCCCCATCTCCCAATGACGACACTTCTCCGTCCTCCCCCCGTCTCCCATTGGTCGCCGCGTCCGCCCGTCCTCGCTCTGAACCAATCAACACCCGAGAACGGATGCTGGGGGTGGTGCTCCGGCTCGGCGCCAGTGTCGTCACTTCCTGGACTACAACTCCCGAGACACCCCGGGGCTCCGTGGAGCCCCTTTAGAGTCGGACTGTGGTTCCCGTCATGCATTGCGGCGCCTGAGAGCCCCCTCAGAGACGGGATTGCCCCCTAAGCACCGTCCCCAGTGCTCCCCCGAACCGGAATTGCTCCCAGGCTTCCCTAAGTACCCCCAATTTCCCTCTCCCGACCCTCAAGTGCCCTCTCCCGGATCCCTACTTCTCCCCTCCCCCGTTCCCTACCTGCCCCTAAAATGCCGCCTGTGTGTCCCCTCTGACCCCTAAGTGCTCTCCAGTTTCCTCCCCGACTCCTAAATGCCCCTTCGGACCCTTAAGTGCCCCAGCCTTCAAGTGCCCCAAGGGAATT